TAATTTAAAATGAAATCTACATTTTCTATTCAACCTTCTAACCTTCTAAAACCCACTTATACTTGTTTAATATATTTGACTCTAATCTTAACTCCTAATACTAACCCCTAACCCTAAAAAATACATACTAAAAAAAATATTTTTCAAGATTTTATATTATTCTGCCACAGTAATTAACCAAAATCATTAAAATATGTAGGTAGCTATAATTAATATAAGTAAATAGATAGGCCAATTATACTAGCATTAGATATGCAAAGCAAAATAGCACGAAATACCATTTTAGAATGTGCAAAGTTTTTAATAAAATAATAATTAGATTAAACTATGTAGTAACACAATATAATGGAAATAAACGAGGTTTATTTAAACCTAATTTGGGTTCATTTGAACCTAATACAGGTTTATTTACAGCTATTATCATAGTTCCTAGAAAACCAGTGAAAATTTGCTGAATAATTTTTCGGCCGATCCGGTTACGTTATTATTTCGGCAAGATAGATTCAATAAAAATCAAAATTGTACGTACGTATGTATGTACGTAACTTTTACATGATTATTGTATCAGCATTACAAAAGTTTGCCAGCACTACTAAACATTCGTGGAACTATAATTTTATATTTATCATATGGGTGAAAATCTCCAGTTGAAACACAGTGATTATTAAAAATTAGGTGATCTTATAAGTAATCAGGTACGTTTTGAGGCGGAAAATCATATCACAGTAAAAACTAAGCTAACAAGGGGTCGCTTTTACTCAAATTCAATACAGAATATACTAATCTACAAAATCCTTCTTCTGTACCCTAGCTGGTAGGCTTCGATTGAGATGTGGTTTGATTTGGTCCGAGTAACTAGGGTCAAATTAGGGCTCTAGACTACGTCACGAAGGTTGAATAGAAAATGTAGATTTCATTTTAAATTATGATCTGTGACAATTACTATGTATTACATGGATTTTTATTCAGTTTAGTCTTGCATATTATGTGAACACGCTCTTTATGAAAACAGTGGTTAGATATCTTCCCCCTGCATCGCCATCAAAATGTCACTGTCACGTGACTATCAGAAAAAACCTTTAAGTTCGTTTATGTTAGGGTTAGCGTTTCGACCAGTGTAAAAATTAAGGAGGTAATAGTAAAATTACACGAGGAATTTTTTTTGTTAGTGCACAAACGGCGGTTTCTTATGTGAATTTTTGAGAAATAAATGTTTTTTTTTACAAAACTGACGTTTGTTTTGATCTTCGTAATTGTGTTACGTTGCACCAAATTGCGATTAATTATTGGCTAATTTGATGTAGATCATCACGTGACAGTGACATTTTGATGGCGATGCAGTGGTGCAAAACATACATTTTTGATACACCTGCACCTACTTTTTTGATACACCCGGATGTACCCCAAATTTTTCTATACTTTTTTGATAACCGAACATTCAAATCATATGATATATGTAGTACAGATGTATGATCTACATATTATGTACAGTAAAAAATAAATATATGTAATAAAACGTAATACATGTGTCACATATTACAAAAAATAAACAAATAAATAGTAATTCGATCAACTTTAATTTTGTAAGTGTAGTTAATGTGAGTTTATAAATTTAAAGCAAAAAATAAAATATAATAAACTTTACTTTCGAATGTAATCTTTCCATATTTTATTCTTTTATAAAAATGTTCGAAGACCAAATTATTTATAATGACGATAACTCAGTTTCAGTTCCTTTTGAATGGATAGCAGAGTGGTATTTACTACAGCATCCAATTTTAAAAAATACGCGTTTAAAGTCCCAAAGCCGCTTAAAAACAACACAATTAATTTGTGATGAGTTAATTCAGCTTTATCGTGTAGATGGTGCTGTTGATTTTACAGAGTGGGCGGCTTCTGGAATGCAAAAGTCAACAAACCGTATTAATGATATTTTAAAACTTACTGATAAAGGTCAAGAATATGTTAACCAAATTCAAGCTGGCTTTAAAAAGGATAAGCTGTGTTGGTCGTGGGTTATGTATTGTGCTGGTGATGGAAAAACTTGTCAACATCAATGTGGCAGTATAGGAGAATGTATATCGGGATGTTCAAATGTTAATTTACCTAATAATTTAAAAAATGGAAATGATATGCACCGTTATTCAGTTAGGGTTCATTCTTTTTTGCGATTATCATATCTTAAATCAGACCATCAACTTCGTATCAAAATTGAAGGAACACATTATCCTTCTAATATGGTAAATGTTAGTGTTCCACAGATTACAAGAATTAATTTGACACAGCAAGTTTGAGACCAAATCATTATTAATCGACGTGCTGATCATCAAACAACAAAGACTATAAAAGGAAAATTATTATATTCATTAAATGGCGCAGACGAGAAAGATTTACATGAAGCATTACTAAATAGTAGAGAGGTTTGTGACAATAAGAAATTAGAGAGATTTATTATTTGCGAAGATAGGAGATTGAAAGATTATACGGGTCCATGGACGGTTCTCCATTATTTTGTTGAAGAAATCTTAAAACCTAAAGGTTATGTTTTATATTATCAGCAGCCGGATTTATCTAAACCAGAAACTTCCGCTGAACGTTACTATCAATTAACAGTGTCTGATAAATTCTGGTTGCGAAATGGGAGAGATTTTGGGCAGCTTTGCATTGGTGTTGATGGAAAATACGATCTTAATATCGACCGTGCTTCAATATTAACTATAGTCATTGAAAATAATGCAAAATATGGAACTCCATTAGCATTTGGTATATTTATTTATATATTTTTTTATTTACTTATCTATTTATTAATTTTTTATTTTTTTTTTATCCAAATAATTAATTTTATACTACATTATTTAATAATTACAGGGTTGAGTAATAAAGAAAACAATTGGTCGATACGATTGGCAATTAATGCTGTTAAACAAAATATACCCTATAATGAACCTTTATATGAGCATTCATGGTATTATGAAAATCTTTCAAATAACAATGGGTTTAAGAGAATTCGCAACTGTAATATCAATCAAGAGTGGAATCTCTATGCGATGATTGATAAACATCAACCTACCAAGCTTGGAGTTGAAGGACTTATGCGTAGAACGATACTTTGCTGGTTCCACATTATGCAAACATTTGGTAATAACCTGAAAGAGTGGAACATTCCTCATTCATTACGGTCAGTTTAATTTATTTATTTTTTTTTTTTTTATTTTTTTTTTTTATTTTATTTATTTTATTTATTTTGTTTATTTTTTAATGTATATTTACTAATATAAAATTAAATAAAATATAAGATATATCATTGCGTTAGGATTCAAGCTAGTAGGTCGATGCCATACTGAGGAAAAGGCCTTTGAAATGGCAAGTTATTACAAGAAATTTATTGTGACACTTCCTCTTACTCAAGAGCAAAAATCTTCATTAATTGGGGATTTGGACAAAAATTGGATGTGCGATGAATGGAGATTACAGTTTATTGATACCGGGTGACTTGTAACTTTAAATAATGCAAGTTTAATGACCACCAATAATTATATGGAACGAATGAATCGTACAATTGAATCTCAATTATCAGGCAGACAAACAGTTGTCACATTCATTGAGCGGCTTTATAGATTAAAATTATTACGTGAAAATTTAAATAAGGAAGGAACAAGACAAGTAACATACGAAGCAGGTTTAGTTACATTATTCAATACACAATCGATTGAACAAGTAAGTATAAACTGCATCATTTAAATAATTACATATAATTATTGATTCATATCAATATAATTTTATAATTGTTGTAGCAAAATGGATCATCCAAAATAACATCGTATATGAATCGGCGTCTAAATCAGGGAAGGCTGTATTTTTTCTAGGCTTAGTCGAACCATCTGATCACCCTGATTATTATTATATTAAAAAGTATCATGAATCAGAAGTTATCGATCTGGATCATAATGATGAATCGATGGAAGTTGAAAAAAGTAGTACTACTTATCTTCAACCGATGATAGAATTACTGACTAGTGATTGTAAAGTTACATTACGAGATGGGTTTTATATCACGAATATAATTACTGGTGAATGTCCACAATGTTTAGATTATATCTGAAATGGACCATTTCATGATGTTTGCAAGCATTGTCATGCTGCAAGAATTTTTTCTACATCACAAACAAACTTTATAGATGTAGTACATGAAACAAAACATAAGCTGGTCAATTATTTTAAAAATAATGAACGAGTTATGTCTCCGGACAATAAAAACAAGATTTATCTCGGATTTACTGATGAAACATATCAGGAAATAATCTGTCTTTATAATGACAAAGGTATATTGTTAATTATTAGCGTTAGTGTAAATTTGGTTACAAAGAACAATCTAACTTATTTAGGCATTATAGGCGCACATATTTTTTAACCTTTTAAGAAATCATCAAA